ATGGTTTCGACTAAGAATCTTCTCTACAAACAAAGGCCACTTGCATCGGCTAAAGGCCTTACTTCTCCCTTCCGAACTATCACCCATCATAAACTACATTTAAGTGCTCATCCTCAGTCTTCTCTTGCTATCACCTTTCGATTTGGTATTGAAGGAGTTCTAAAACAATGTGGGGGTCTCATTGGCTTGAGTGCCAAGAAACTCCGCATAGAGCATACACTTAGAAATTTTTTTGTGACACCCTCTACTTTACTTACCCTGTTTTATTACCTCTTTTTCGATTCCTTTTTCTTTTCTCTTTTTCTTTTATTTTTTTTATTTTTTAGGGGGGGTACTAGAGAGTAAAACAATTGCCACCTATACATTTAACGATCAATGCTCTCTTTTTGAAGAACTCACTCCAACACTACACTTCAATTTGCATTCCTATCAAGAACCGCACATAATCCTCCTATGTAGAACCTCAATGGAACTCAAAAGTGAGAGCTCCGGGATACAAGGACGACTCATGTAAAGACATGAAGAAAGGATTGGGGTCTTTCTATCAACACCATTAAGCTCACAAACACGAAGCTCCTAACTTAAGAACGACCCTCGAAGTCACAAAGCTCAAATGGGTTGATTAGTGGATAACACATTTCTGGACAATCAACATTTGGGCGTGGACTAATCCTATGCCTCCATCCTACTCGCTATTGACAATTGTGATGCAACACACCATGGTAAGAGGGAACTATCACACCAGAAGAAAACGAAAGGCTCAAAACTCACAAAGCTACCTAGCCACCCAATCATCTATACCACATTCACAAACTCGATGCATGGCAATTGTAATCGAAGAGTAACCAAGTCAAGACATTCCATCATTTACGCACACATGAGAACTAAGACTTCACACAATCCTAATGCACTCTCAGTCATCTTAATAGGATGCACTCGACTATATGCAACAATTCAAGAACGATGCCAAATAAGCACGAGATTCACCATCAAACCGGCCATTTTGAACAAGAATCGCTTGGAGCCCTCAAATTTTTTCAAATTTGGGCATACATAAGGGCCCCAACCATTCAAAATCACACCAAACATTCACACACACATGCATAATTGACTACCCCCCCCCCCCACACACACACACTTAAGCTCGACATTGCCCTCAATGGCGTAAAATAGGGAAGTAGAACGATGTTACCGGATACGATGTGAATGTTAGTGGCGGGATCGGAGGTCGGGCGAGATCCGGAAGATTAAGGAGACGGTAAAATACCACCAAAACCTCTCCATTGGTCATCTTATTGAAAGGAAAAGAGATGCAAACCATTGATGGTTGGGTTGCCTCCCACCTAGTGCTTCTTTAACGTCTTGAGCCGGAAGGTTGCTCTTCAAGTTTCGATCCACCCAAGAACCTTCTTGAAGTTGAGTTTCTCGTCGGTGAGGTGATGTCTCAAGTCACGAGCATTGGACGAGTCCATGATTGAGGGATCGTGAACTTGGGTGGCTTTGAGGCTCCACCCACGAGACCTCTTCTTCTTTCCTTCTTCCTTCCTCTCTTTGCCCCACATCATGTAATGCATCATCGATTTATCACCATCGCATCCACCAAGAGGGATCGCTAATGGTTTGGCCTTGGCTTGGCAAAGGGCCGCAAATGGGTCCTTCTCCCAAAGCGCGTCGAGGTCGGGTGGAAAGCTTTCATAGCCCTCGTAACTTGTGGATGCTTCATCTACCTCAACCTTATCCTCATCTTGGACTCCACTTGCACCTTCTTCTTCTTCATCATCTTCAACCTCCCTTCTTCAAAATTTGATTCCTCCCAATGGGAACACCCAAGATCTTCCTTCTCTTCAATGTTCACTTCCTCCTCTTCAAACACTTCTTCCTCCTTCCCATTCATGTCTTCAAGCACGGTTTGGAGGGCAAGATGCCATGCAAGCTCATAGAAGGGATTCTCTTGCTTCTCCGCACTCGTGTCTTGGTCTTCAAAGTTTCTTTCGGGAAGGGGAAGATGATGGGATTCGTCAAGGCAACTTTCTTGTTCATCCTCACCATGAGAACTCTCTGGGGTGAGTTCCTCTAGCTCCACATGGTTGTCATTGAACACCCCTTCAACCTCCTCTTCCTCCTCCAATAATGAAAGGCGATAGCTCCCACAAGCTCATGACACTTTCTCTTCTAGTGTCAAACCGGGAGGAGGGAGGGGTTGGAAATCCATGCCGGAGCTCATTCTTCCAAAGGTCTCATGGCTTCCCTCTTCGACCTCCTCTTTCTCTTCTTCAAATGGTGGGAGGAGATTATGAGCAAGTTGTGCACATGCTTGCTCAACAAGCTCTTCTTGCCTCTTCGTGCATCGAAGGAGTTCCTCCGATTGCCGTAGGAAGGATGAGTCGATAGGGTCGGCGATTGAAAGGTCTGAATTGGAGCATCCTTCGTCGGTACCCCGGGCAAATTGCTCCACCATGAGCTCCCAGTTTCTCTTTGGCTCTGGTTGTGGAGTAGCACACGGTCTTGATGATTGTCCCATGAAGGCTACCATGTCCAACTCCAACTTGGATTTCTCCTCGGGTTGAGGAGGGAAGTTTTCTTCATATGAGGGAGCTTCTTGATACCCCCATTGGCATGCTTGTTCATCTTGGAAGGGGGGTGGTAATAGGACCCGGATCCTCGGCTTCCCCCATTTTGATCGTCCCATGATGCTCCGGGGTACCCACATTCGGGTGGTTGTGCATACCCCCACATATTGTAAAAGCCATTGGGATCCATGATTCATAACCTATACAAACAAAAACACAAAAAGAAGATCAAACAAACACAAAACACCCTTCAAGACGAAAAGTGGGTAAAAAAAACACAACATAAAACATAAAACACGAACAAAAAGGCAAGATAGAAAATGCTAGAGTAACACTAATCGATCTTTTTCAAAATAATGGACCGCGGTTCCCCGGCAACGGCACCAAAAACTTGACTCGCATGAAACTACAACACAAATTAATCCTGAATAGAGCCCAAGTTTTTAAACTCTAGCTGGGTGCAGTATAGAGAAAGTATTTAAATTGTCAACTCGAGCCGGTCCATGTACCCCTACTTTAATCGCGTAAGTTGTTATCTAGCAAAACGGTTTTGGGTTTTCAAACTAAGAAAACTACAAACTAAACAAGCAAAGAAAAGTAAATAAAGGAAAATTCTAACTAAGGGAGCTTCACCCAGGAGTTTCTTCCCCCTAACTAGCTACCATGACTCATTGGATTGAATGGAGTCGTGTGGTGTAGGTGGTTATGAACCGCGAGGGTGAGCAACTAGTGATTGATTTGTCACGGAATCAATTCACTAGCGATCGATTTTTCACGGGATCGATCCACTCACGATGTCTAGGGGAACCGATAGGAGGAGCAACTAGTGGTCCATTTGTCACGAGATGGATTCACTAGAGATAGATTTGTCATGGAATCGATCCTCTCACTCAGTCTCTAGGGGTTGCCTAGGTCTCTCCCTCAAACCGGAGCTTGAGCGGCTTAAGCACGGCCAACCTAGATGCAAACTTGAGTCAAGGGGGGTGCTCATCTCTAACCTAGATAGTAGGCACAAAGTGTCTGGAAAAACCAAGCTTGTCAAGCCTACTTAAAAAGGTGTGGTTTTCCTCTAATCTAGGTTAGGCAAGCACACAAGATTTGGAAAGCACAATCACCATGAAAACACTTCTAATACTCAAATTGATGCAAACCCATACAAAATCATTCAATCTAAACAAGTAATTACAAAGTATTAGTTAGCGATCTACAACACCGAAGAGAAAAGAGTGAGTTTCTAGATATAGAAGAGAGAAATTACAAATTTGAGCTCAAGATCTTCTTCTCCTTCTTCTAGGCTTGAATCCTTGTCTTCAAGATTCACCCAAGCCTCCAATGATACTCTAAGACCACTCTAGCACCCTCTCTCTCTCTCTCTGTAGAACTCCCCTTTGGTGTTTTTGGGAAAACCCTAGAGAGGATTGAATTTCTCTCCAAAAATCAACCCCCCCTTTCTTCTCTCCCCGTTGTTGTCTTCATATTTGCCCGAAAGTGAGCAGTTCATGGACGCGTTGGCCAGTTCACGGCCGTGAAAACCTAAACGGGTCCGTGAACTCAGTGTCATCCAAAACACACCGCTTCACTCTCTTGGGTTCACGGTCAATGGCCCGAGTTCAAGGTCTTAAAGACCGTGAACTGCCTTGCGTCAGTAACTTCTAGAACCTCGCTGGACGCCTCGGTGTTCACGGTTTGTGGTCCATGTTCACAGTCTTAGGAGACCGTGAACTGCCTTGCCCAACTGTGAACTGCGGTTGTTTTCTGGACGCCTTCACTTCACTGTTACGGGCTTCAGACTTTTCTTCAGTTTTTGCGCTTTTTGACCTCCAATTATCCCAAAACTCGTCATCGACCCTTCCACACGTGCTAGGACCTGAAATAAATAAAAACAAGCACAACCTAGCATGAAACATGTTGAGCAACGATGAAATACTAAGTTAAACAAATAAGAAATGAGGGATAAAATATGTACATTTGGGCCCGAATCACCTGGTTGTGTTCCAGGATATAACTATCATTGTTTTTAATCAATATATGATTATATTTAGTAAATAAATAAGTTAAATGGTATATGCTACAAATTAGCCTCTATATCTCGTGCTATGAGAGGTACTCTAGATCAATGTAGTCAAAATCGCGATTTTAAACTTAAAAACTTACGATTTTACGTTTCTAGGTCACTAAAACGCTTCTACACAAAATCTAAGTTTTTATAACTTATGTACTTAAAAACTCCGCTTTGAAACTTAAAAACTTACGATTTTACGTTTCTAGATCACCAAAACGTTTCTACGTAAAAGCTCGCTTTTGACTGCATTGCTCTAGATAAACAGAATCAAGGTATTCCAAGATTTCCTGATCACACATCCTTCTAATGCAAGAGCTAGAACAGAAAAAGTGGAACCATACGCGCAAAACAGATTACGCCGCCAATGAGCCCAAAAGATATAATGTTACAAAGACAACACAACAAGGTTTCACTTATTATTGGGACACAATCACAGAAGTCCAAACCACACAAAGAGCACCATCACATGACCTCCAACCTCGACAGCATCATTATTACTTAGGAACCTTATAACACAAGTAGAGAAGCATCTCCATAACCCCGCATGACATTCAAGATCCCATCAGGAGTGTAGCCATTTTTTTGCTATCTCAAAGCTGAAGAACCTTCTTCCAAGAAGGTCTGCTGCTGATATCATCCCACCATGCACTCACATGCTTCCTGCTCCGAATCATGTACTCCTTCCCGATTGGACCCACCAAGTACTGCGTGAATGGGAGGTGGCTAAGGTCAGCAAGGCTGAAGAAATCCCCAGCCAAGTACTTGCTCTTCGACAGCCTCTCCTCGTAGACGTCCAGCACCTTCCCAAGCTTCTCCTCGCTCTCCCTGATGAGCAGCTCGTCAGCTGGGAAGCCCAGAACAGAGGCGAACATGACGTGAAGCGTCAGGTTGTAGATAGGTGGGTGGAAGTTCTGTGACTCAACTTCCAGCCACTGCTCAACCAGCCCTCTTTCCTCTATGGTCTTCCCAAGCAGATCAGTCCCCTGCGACTTGTACTTCTCTGAGTAGTACCTTATGATCGCCCTCGATTCTGTAACGTTTTCACACACACAGAATATAAAAGAGTCTTAATAAATTCGTAAATAGAGTGCGAAGAGACTTTTAAACTTTGGGCAATGCCAGATTTCAACCTTTTCAGTTGAAAAATGGTGATTTCTGTACTGCACACGAACTGTTCGATGTTTTGTCTGAAAGATGAATAAAGGAAACTAAATCGCATAACTGACAAGGGAAGAGTCTAGGGATCATCAGAATTACCATACAAAGTGTAGTCCCCATCTTGAATCACTGGCACCGATCCAAATGGCTGGGCACGGCAACAAGATCAACAAGCTTCAGTTAAGACGGCGGAGAGTAAAACAGAAGAACCCAAAGTAGTTTAACAAGATGGTAAGTTGGAGGCTGGTACCTGCAGTTTGAGGAAGTCTGGGTGTCTGTGCTCTCCCTTGACGAGATCGATTGGGACAGTCTCAAACTCGATTCCCTTCTCAATAAGGCACACGATTACTCGCTTCGGGGAAGCATAGGCTGAACCGTACACCTTCACCGCCATTTCACCCCAATCTTTTTCCCAAAGCTCTTTTTCCCAAAGCTGCAAAATGAGTAGCCAGCAGCCTAGAGTATGGACAAGACTAAAGGGATCAATATATAAGGATCTGCTGGTCAATAGTCAATCCTCGCTATTCCACCAACTCCTATAATTTAGAAAAGGAGTAAAGAGTAACTTGGGTCAAGGGCAAGCCAATCAATTCTTCTAGGCTGTGGTGCATCTATGTTTTTGTTTTCTTGATTTTGTATTTTCTTCATAAAATCATTTTTAAATTATTTTGTTTATTGTGATAAGATCCATTATCCACATTATTCGAAATTTGATTTTTCTATATAATAACATAGCCGCACAAATATTGACACAACATCATAGACATATTCATAATATGTATTGAGCGTTTTCACACTATTTTCTTATATGTATTCTGAATACTCTTATGATATTATGCGAATCTCTCAACATTTTTAGGCTGCTTGTTTATATATACATTCAAAATGTATCAATTTTGGTTTGTTAAGTTAAAACGATCTACTGAAAAACAAATTAAAAAACTGATGGCCTGGAAATAAGTAAATAAATATCATATGCATTGCACCGTAGCCTAGTTGCAACGAGGTAATTGCCTAATTGGTTTCTACGGATCTATCAAACGAACGATATTGGGCAGAAAGTCGTTTTTTTTTTTTTTTGACAAAGGAAAGAAAGTTTTAGCATGAGAAGAATCGAAGATGATAGTTTGGCCCTAAGAAATGAGTAGAAGGAAGGTAGGGAGTTTTTTCCAGAAATAGCACCTTTAAAAAAAAAAATTACAAAACTAGCACTCTTCCAAAACAAATTACAAAACTAGCACCTATTTTAATGAATCGCACCTTAGAGGTGCGTTTTATAAATGAAACGCAGCCTTAGAGTGCGTTTCCTTCATAAATCGCACCCCTAAGATGCGATATCTAAGGTAAATCGCATCCCCAAGATGCGATCCAAGTTTGGTCGCCAGCGACCTTCTGGATCGCACGATTAAGATGCGATCTGACGGGCTGCAGCATAGCCACGTCAGCAATCCGCGCGACTGAGTGTGGATCGCACTGGTGAGGTGCGATTTCTCGCCTGGAAAAGTGGAGCGTCATGATTCTGCGCGTTCAACGCATCGGGACGCGGGGATCGCATCAGGGGAATGCGATTTGGCGTGGAGATCGCACCAGGGAGATGCGATTTCTACGGGGTAAAATTACCCTATCGCCCCTCGGCGGTGCGATCTGTTGGGTATAAATACCCCCCCTCCCCCTCTCATTTCTTCACTCCACACAACCCATTCTCCTTCTCTCTCTAGATATAATCTCTCTAAACCCTCCCCTCCCAAAAGCCTAGGAAATAAAAGTCTGTTGGTTGCGGCTAAGTCCGATCTGCCATCAGAAAATATTTCTTAGGTTTTTTCCTCAAAAACCCGCCGAGCCGAGCCGAAGCTCTGTCCGAATTACGCCGAAAAAATGGCCGATTGGTGGCAAGGAGAAGGAGTTTTCGTCGATGAATTTCAAGCGGTATGTACTCATCATTCTGGTTTAATTTTTATTGTTGTTATAAGTTTTTTAATTAATCTATGTACTAACCTAGTTATTTTATCGTAGGTTGGGGAGGGCGTCGATATATACAACCAAAGGTATTATCTCGAGCAAGGACCGGTGGATCCAACCGACTTGTACGACCAAGCCAATCATCGGTCAAGGGATGTTTGGAACGATCACCCGGTACATACAATTCTTCACCATTTGTCCTTCTTTTATTTTGTTAATGTGCCTAGTGTAATATAAAATAAATTTATGTTTATTTTTTAATCGTGTTGGTGGTTTTCAATAATTTAATCGAATACATAGCGCCACTTACTTCGACTCTTTATAAAGAGATGCACGTCTAAGGAAATGGGGTTTTAAGCGATTATCATATCCTCCCATTACCTGGGAAAATCGGGTATTAAGAGATCCTCGGATCCCCCCTTTTTCTGTCAAAAAGACTGCGTTTCTAAGAAGATGTATACCTCTTCTAAGAGTCTAACGAGTGTTGCTTTGTATTCGATTAAATTATTTAAAACCACCAACACGATTAAATTATTTACCAAACATTTGAATATGTATGTTTCTACTTAAATTATTATTCATTAACAATGTTATTTATGTTAATTAATTAAATATGTTTGTTTTACGATAATATGTATGTACCTCTTTAAATTATTATTCATTGACGCCTCCAATGCCAGTATTAGTCTGGGAAGGAATGCATACGATTCTTCGTAAACCCAGTGAGTGGGCCCCATATTGGGACCTCTGGCGGCTCCATGTCGCTGTCGACCATCCAATTGTCGTCTGGAATGTGATTGTAGTAGGGGACTGGTACACGGTCAGGAGCCACATCACCATCATTATCCGAACCCGAATCTGGTGCTGAATCATCAGCACCTTCAAGAGGGTCTGAGCTGTCTGCACTGACGTTGTTTTCTCCTTCTTCATCAGAGGGGTCGCTGACTGGTCCTGGTGTGGCAGCATCCGTCTGATCCTGCTCATGAAAGGCACCTTCATCAGCTCCATAATGGTAGTTGTGAAAACTACCGCTGCCTGTCAGGAAGTTGTACTGGGCTTGGTTGGGGATGTCCGGTTGAACTTCTTCTTCATATGACGAGAACGATTGATGATGGCCTGCACCTTGCCCTCCATCTTGGTACTGAAAATAGGAATGAGGATCATGGTAACTTTGGTAGGGATGATCGTCATATAATTCACCTCCACCATGGATACCAGATGTTTGACCGTGTCCAGAATGACCTCCAACACTAACGGCTGGCTCGGTGTAAACGAACATCTCGGCTTTGTGCAATTTGTTGGACCTCAAGAATTCGAGCATGGAATCTACGTCATCTTGAGTGGTTATGGTATATTCCTCATGCCACAATGACCCAGTTGCTCTGTTTGGGTATCGGTACACCATACGATCTACCCTCCTCGTGCCATCCATGCAAGTAACGTCAGTGCATATTCGATGGAGGTCTTCAAGCTTCGGTCTGGTACCGACCGTTACTTTCTGAAAATTGCCACCGACGTAGGTGGCCCCCTTTCCGGTGTCTTCCGTGTAACCATTCCACCGTAAGCCAAGCAACAACTGACGGAATGCCATCTGCATACAAACAAACCATAGTTTTAGTTAATATCATAAAAATCACAAATCACAAATAACAATAAAAAGTAACACAAAATAAACTTACGAATTAATGTTAATGGCATAAAAAGTAACACAAATTAAAGTTACGAGTTCATGTTAATGGCATAAAAAGTAACACAAAATAAACTTACGAGATAATGTTAATGGCATAAAAAGTAACACAAAATAAACTTACGAGTTAATCTTAATGGCAAACACACTAAATAAATATAGATATACAACAGAAAAATGAAAGAGAATGTGAGGGAGAATGAGAGGTGTGAAGAGTCTGTTTTCCGGCAAGTCTTTATATAGGGGAAAAAATTGTGAAAACCGCACCTCTAGGGTGCGGTTTTAGTCTGCCATGCAACCTACGTCGATAATTCTCTGCATGTCTGTGATGGGTGTCGGGAAATAATTGACACGTAAACCGCACCTGGGGGGTGCGATCTACGTGGTGAAACCGCACCTTGCAGATGCGATTCATGTTTGGAGAAGTAAATCGCATGGCCGAGGTGCGATTTAGGTAGGTCAGGCCTAAATCGCACCTCGGCCATGCGTTTCATGTAGGCCAGACATGAAATCGCACGGGCAAGGTGCGATTTAGGCCCACCAAATCAGATCGCACTCTCAAGGTGCGATTTACGTGTAAAACGCACCTTGGGGATGCGGTTTATGTGTAAATCGCACCTGGAGGGTGCGGTCAATATAAAAGGGTGCTAGTTTTGTAAATATTTTTGGCAGGGTGCTATTTTTGTAATTTTTTTTTTAAAGGGTGCTATTATTGGAAAAATCTCGGAAGGTAGGTGTGGAATAGTTACACGCGGCCATCTAGTGTGGAAAGACGTAGGTAAGGCGTGGGCAAAAGGAAAACATGGTAACGGTAGGTAACCACCAACTTTTTTTTATTCGTTTCCTATTATGATACACCGCGATTTAAATCTTGACTAGAGTTCAAGTATAAACTCTAATCGAGTGCAATATAGGGCAAGTATGTTTTAAAAGTCAAACTCGTACCGGTTCATGTACCCCTACTTCAATCGCTTAAGTTATTATCTAGCAATCGGTTTTTTGTTTTAAAACTAAGAGGTCGTTTGGAGGCAGGGCCGTCCCATTATATTCGGAGGCCCTGTTCGAAAATTTAAATGTGCCCCCAAATTTTTTCTCACAAATTTATTAAAAATAAAAATTATTAGATAATAATAAAAATTACATATCTTCACAAAATTATTACAAATTAATAATATTATATATTATCAAATATTATCTACGCTTAGAACTACCTTTTACAAATTTTTGGATTGATATAATTATAAATTATAACCAAAGATTAATTATTCCAAAATTTCATATAAATTCTTTGCAAAAGAAAAGGATAAATATTAGAACTTAAAACAAGTTGATTAAGAGTCTAGATAGTAGGGATGAGAACTTAATTAGAATTGGGTGTGAACAATTCATATTTAAGCTTTGGATGATTTTGGGAAGTTGAGAAATTTTGGGAAAGAGAAGAATAGAGGCGTTAAAAACTCTAATTGTTATTTAAAGTTCAACAAACTAATGTAGTTTAGTGGTTGAATCTCATTTTAATTAGAAGGAGGTCAATGGTTTGATTCCCATCCCTGCATCCTTGTACATGTAGTTTTTGTGTAGGCCTTGCCAGCCCAAGGGGGCCTCCAGACTCTTATGGATTATGTGGGCTTCGCTCTAGCCCAAGCAGGCCTCCAAAACATATGGATTATGGATAATAGGCCCCCCAAAACTTGAGGCCCTGTGCTGTGGGTCTGACCAGCACAGGGCCTGAGCCGGGCCTGTTTGGAGGTTGGGATTTCAACCAATATATTTAGCCAATGCATGTAATGTTAAAATTAAGACATTTTTGTTTAATTAGTGACAAAATACATGTATTACCTTTTTCTGGACCCACCTACAATCACTCAAAATGAATGATTATCAATCTCTACCAAAAGGTGAGATTGTGAGTTGTGACCAATGGATTGTCTACCTTCTAAACTTCCAGACAAGATATTTTTCAAATTCATACATTTCATCAATACATCAAATTACAATACCCAAATTGATTAAATAGTTCAATTTGGAGAATCTCAACCTCCAAACAACGCCTAAGAAAACTACAAAAATACACAAACAAGGAAAGTAAGTCAAGGAGAATTCTATATGAGAGGACTTCACTTGGGTATTGCTCCTCCTAGTCTAGTATTAAGAAACAATGGACGCAACTCTAGTGTGAAGGATGTGTTCTTATACCGTGAGGTGGTTGCAACTAGCCAGGGACAAACTCTCATAGTCGATCGATTAAGGATCGCAACAAAAAGCTAGTGAACCTAGTTCTCTTAACCGATCAACCAAGGAAACCCTAACTCCCCTAGTTGACCAATTTAGGATTGTTGCATTAAGTTAGTAGACTTACTCTCTTACCTTTCGGCTATGAATGCCAACAATAGGTTAGGCAATCTAGCCCCCTCTAAACCGGTTGACTAAGGATTGCAAACCAATCC